ATTAAATCCGCAACTTGGATCCAAAACGGTGCAAATAATGGTTGTCATTCTATTAATCTCCTGAAGAGAATGTTGAAGCTTAATATACCTTATAAGGTTAAATTATTTAGTTCGTAGCTTATCATGGGAAGACTTCATACTCGAGATCGTTTATCATGACATATTATTAACATTCCAACCAGTTGCCCTCTTTGGAACTCTGAGAATGAAAGTATAAGTATTCTTTTTATGAATTGCACCTTTGCTAACCAAGTTTGGAGCAGTCCAGAAATTATTAATACTATAAAGATAAATCATTTCATACAGTTCAATGATTGGCTTGAGTCTCTTAACTATAAGATGGAAGAAAATCTAAACGACTTAAGCGTCGTTTTGCTCATCTGTTGGAAAATTTGGAAAGAGAGAAACTTAAATTGGTTTTCAGAATAAAAAAAGCAGACCCTAAGAGAGGTTGTTATTGCCCTAATTATTGGCAAGGAGTATTTAAAGAAAATCAGAAGATTTCAATTTCTAGTAGAAGGAATGACAAATCCATCAAATGGTCCCCCCTGATTCTGGCTTTTTTAAATTAAACTTTGATGGTTCTCTTATCAACCAAGGTTTGATCATTAGAAATGAGAATGGGAAGCCTATCTTAGCTGGGGCTCGTAGAATTGGACATAACACTAAATCTGTTGCTGGATGCCTGGCTCTTCATGATGGATTATGGATGGCAAAAATTAGGAATTTCAAAAGAATCAACGGTCAAGGAGTCTCAAAACTTGTAATTGATTCCATCCGAGGCACTTATCATATCCCATGGAGACTGAGACGATTTTGGAGGACATCCGGAAGATGGCCAGTTCTTTTGAGGTTATTAATTGGAAGCACATTTTCAGGAAGGCCAATTTTTTTTTTTGCGAGTGTTGTCACTAATGTTGGGTATTCCATCAATAGTTTGTACGTTTGGGATAGATCTCTTCCTTTAGTTGCTCAACAAACCTATTTGTTTGATTGTACTCAACCTGGTTGCCTTAGGGCTTTTCTCTTTAATGGATTACTTTTTCATAAAAATAAAAATAAATAAAATAAAAGACTTAAGGTTATGTGTTCAAGTCACTTTCAATAAGAGTTCACCTTTGCAGTTAAATTTATGTGTTCAAAGTCTGTAATATCGCTTGTTTAAAATGAATTAAAAATTGCTTAAATAATGAATCGTGAGAATTGAATGTGACTTTTTCTACTGCCCGTTAAGGAAGTGGTATTTCCTACTAGTTTGAAGATATAGGACGTGCTCAATTTAATCTTAACGTAAGGTGATCATGAACCCATCATTCACTTGACCTAACCTCCATACAACCAATGCTGCAAGAAAATAAGGATTCTTGATTGATGTACTGTGCAATACACACGTTGTTTCTGAATGAAATTCGATATTTGGCAACACTTATTGATCAAAATCGCATAGTAGATAACAGTTGGGTAATGACGCTTGGGACGGACGAAAATGACTGTTAAGGCTTGAATGCCGTCTAAGGTTAACGGACCTGATCTATCAAAATTTTGGGTATTAAGTTGAGTAGATCTGATGTGTGTGTTGCTTTTCCTATTTTCAAAGAAATTTTAGCATATTGGTTGGAAGTGGGTTGTGGGATGGATGCCGGGCATAGAGATCGTTGCGGGTTGTGGGGGCGGAAGCTACAAATGGCTGTGATGGATGGGAGAAGATGAGCCGATGCGATGTGTGGAGAAGAAGTAGTTGTGAATTGTGATGGGTGGTACGAGAATTGATTTGGTTGAAGCATGATTAAATGCCTTTTTTTTTCTTTTTTTTTTAGCACCAATTAGTCGGACACATCATAAAATTATGGGTCACACATGGTACCACACATCATCATTTAACAAATTAATTAACAGAAAATTTAATGGATGTATGAAATTGTAATTTTTTTTTGTTTTTGTCAAACGATAAATTATGTTAGATTAGCCACCGACGGGGTTCGAACCCACGCTGTCATGCAATGACTGAACAACTTTCCACAACTGTGGTAAATGGCCACTTGCTATGAAATTGCAATTATATGATAAGTAATGTATGAGGTTAAAATGTTTTAAAGATATTGTATGAGGTTGCAATTGCACTCAAACTTGAAAGGGTAAAATGTAATTTACCCTTGATTTTTCTACATAAAGAATGACACGTGGAAAGTCATTTGAGAAACGCCTCCACAATATTTTCGAGGCCAATGACATGAAGAAGATGTTAGTCATCTTTGATTTCAAATAGGAAGTTCCAATTGATGCGGGTGTGTCAACTTTTTTTCACTTCTAAGAAAGGGATTCTTGTTCGAAGTGATGCACCAGTGTACTACAAGAGATGGATGAAGGCCCCAGCTGAAGATAAGGAAAAATTGTTGGCGTCGTTGCTAGTGAGTTTGATTTTACTTGGATTTAGTAGTAATAATTTCAACCACTCACTTATATATTTTTATTTTGATGTTATATACTATTTGAGGTGTACCTATCTAATTTGAAGATTCTTGAATGTGTGAATAAGAAGTTGGGGAAGTCGTACTTTTAGTTTAGGTTTCGGTTGCATGAGCACTATTTATTATCTCAAACATCTACAAGAGGACAAGCTAAGTTGCCTAAGAAGTTATTATGGAATAAGAGACCAGCGAGTCATTGACACTAATTATGTGATGATATTTACACTAGTATAGTCTTTTGGTATGTATTATATAGAACATTTTCTTATGCCACCTTGTTGCAATAATTTGCCATCTCTTGCCATCTTGGTTATCAAACATACTTGAAAGCACAACCTTAGCCTATTCTTCACTAATGTTAGTATTTCAATGGAAATTGAGATTAATTTAGGATCCAACTTATAAGCATATTCAATAATTTAACACGGTTTCAACTCCATGTTGGTTTGAGGTCAAAATTTCATATTACAATTTACATTTGCAAATTAGGGCATAGACTCATGAGCCTAACCAAAAGTGTGATGTGATGACAAATACTTTAGAAGCATTTATGGATTAATGATATTCCTTTTTCCTCTTATGTATAATGTTGCTCCAAGTAGTTGTCAAAATGACATTCTAATGTAAGATGTTTCCAAGAAAAATGCTTATGATCAAGAGGAACAAAAGTACTATCACCTGGGAAGGGCAAGGCCATTCATCCATCTTGGAAGACTATAAATAAATTCGAAAGGACGCGTGTACCTTTTATGCAGAAGCTTGAATCTCAACACGCTCCTACAAATACGAACAACTGCTCTGACTCTCCGTGCATGTCTAGAACCTCAGAGGTCGTTGGGTTGGCTACAGTATGTCGAGTTGCCCCTTGGTTTTCGCCTCCCAAGACCTAGAGCTGAAAGTGATAGCTCTAAAGAGCTAACTAGAATATTTGAACTGTGGTAAAGTTTGTGTTTCTTATGTCTTCTCTCTTCCCCAAAACCTCCTTATATAGTGATTGGGAAGAGTGTACAAAGACTAAAAAGCCTATGAAAATCCCAAGTATATTCTAATATGAATATCTCTTGATTTTCATCTAATTATCACATAGATAATTAAGAGGTTAATATCCTCATATGGGTGGTATATCCTTTGATATTTATTTATCTTATAAGATAAATCCTACATTTCCCACTCACCCAGATAGGGTGTGGCATAGTCTCAATCAACACACTTAGTTCACATCCATTCTAGTCTATCTCCTCATACAGGAAATGGGATGCGCGACCTTGCGAGAAAGAACATACAAAACTAGGAGCATTGCTAGTAAGCTATCACTAAACTAACAATAGTGCATCACTCGGAAATTCATCGTTTTATGCCCCAGACTGTTCGTCACACACTAGACTTGACATTCTTTATCCCTCGTTATGAAAATAAAAATAATGTCATGTCTCATAAGTATCATGTATCGATGTCTTATGTTTGATAACAAATATCAAAAGACGTTGCGTAGCTAATGAATCACATGACATGGTATTTTCTTCGAACTGTCTTCCTTAAGCTCTCATGTCAGTCTAATTTGATTTAACTCCTTGCCTAGACACGCCTCTTAGGACAGTAGCTAACATGACCGTCTTAGATAAACGTGCTAAAGTAACTATCATTAAACCTCATCATTCTAACATAGACTTTAGTTTAAAGGGCATAAGGGTGGAATAGTATAGATTCCTTATGGTTCACACAGTGATTGAAGCAGGGATCAATTCATCACTCCCACTATCAGTCGATTATAGCATATACAATATGATTTGTATGCTATGGTGTATCTTCATTTCAATGAGTGTGTCGCATGTCATTGGACATACACCATACGGATCTTAGTCTAGTCGCTACACAAACGCCTAACTTGAGTCTTCTAGCCTAGTCACCTTCTCGGCACTAACCTAGATACTCATATCTGGCTTTACAAGCTTCAGCATAAAACAAATCTCATGTTCGACTTCTATTAAGTCTCATCTTAGACACTTCTAAGGCGACGTTTACCTTGTGCATATTGGTACATTCAATATACACGTGTTTGGTCTTGCAGTCCAATGCGTTGAGGACACCAATGTCTCATCCTACTCGCTATCTCAACGCCATGGCAAATCGTTTGTGTGAAAAACCTATTTTAGCTTGCTGACACTCGTAAAGATGTGTAAACAATCATTTCAAAAATAAATATGAAATGAAAAACTTCAATGCATTTTTATGCAATAATAATGTCAAATACAAAGAAAAACACATCAAACCCTACATAAACCCATATTCTTTACATGAGTCAGAAACGAGTTTCTAATTATGGGTTTAGTCATAAAGAAATGTTTCAACATTACTGGTCGAGATATGTTTCAACATTACTTCACCCTTGGTAACCTTGTTCCTAAAGAAATGATATTGTGTATCTATGTGCTTAGATTTGCCATGATATTTAGGATCTTTAGTGTATGTTAAGGCTAAAGTACTATCACAGTAGACAAGTACAGCTTCTTGAGCATAAGCCGTAACTCCCATCTATTGTAGAAATCTCCTAAGCCAAACAGCTGATCCAAGGGCAACATATTCTGACTCCATTGTGGACAGAGCAATACAAGTTTGCTTCTTGCTACACCAAGAAACAATTCCACCTCCAAGGACAAAAGCATAACTAGAGGTGGGCTTGCGTTCATCTCTATCGCTTGCCCAGTTTGCATCACTATATCCTCTCAACTTCATATTCCCTCCTTGGTAAAATAGGGCTAAATCTTTTGTTCCTTGCAGGTATCTCATAATCCTCTTGACAGTTTGCCAATGAGCTTGTCCAGGATTACTTTGATAACGGCTTACCGTGCTCACGACATGGCAAATGTCCGGACGCATGCAAAGCATCGCATACATTATACTTCTTATTGCATAGCCATAGTGGACGTTTTCCATTTGTTCTTTCTCTTTCTTAGTCTTTGGTCACTGTTCTAAGGACAATATCGTGCCTTTTTCCATTGGAGTGTCTATGGGTTTGGAGTTCTCCATCTTAAATCGTTCAAGTACCTTCTTAATGTAAGTCTATTGAGACAAACTTAGATGTTTCCTTGAGCGATCTCTCGTGATCTTAACTCCAAGCACATAATGTGCTTCACCCATATCTGTCATCTCAAAATGGGATGACAACCACATTTTCGTGGTTTCTATGGAGGTTTTGTCATTTCCCGCTATTAGGATGTCGTCAACATACAGATAAAGTATGATAATACTTTTCCCAGATTTCTTAAGATACACACAGTGGTCTTCCTCAATCATTTCAAAACCAAATGAAGTGATTGAATTATGGAATCTAATGTTCCACTATCTAGACGCTTGCTTGAGGCCATATATGGAACGTTTTAGACGGCAAACTTTGCGCTAGTGTCCCTTAGCCTCAAGGCCTAAAGGTTAATCCATGTATATCTCCTCGTCTAGTTCTCCATTGAGTAATGTTGTCTTAACTTCCATTTGGTAAAATTCCAAATCTAGTTAAGCAACAATACCTAAAATGAGGTGAATAGAGGCAAACCTCACCACAGGGGAGAATGTCTATTCATAGTCTACACCTAATTGTTGAGTGTATCCTTTCACCACAAGGCGTGCCTTATATTTGTTAATTGAACCATCTGCCTTGCATTTGATTTTTAAAACCCACTTATTTCCAATGGTTTTATGTCCAGGTGGAAGGTCAACTAACTCCCAAACAATATTTTTGTCCATAAAGCTCATATCTTCCTCCATTGTAGTTATCCATTTTTCTTTGGCCGTTGAAGGAAACGTTTCTTTGTAAGAAGAAGGTTCGTCTTCCTCTGAAGGTATGCAAATGTAGGCCTCCCCATCAACCTCAAAATGACATTTGGGAATATGGCCTCTCTTGATTATTCGAACTGTGTGACCTTGAATTTCAGAGAGTATGCTCCCATTATTGGGCGTATTCTCTTGAGTGTTTATGGATACATTACTCCTACGGGGTTGTGTACTCCCACTCAGATCAAGTCCTCTTACATCATATTCAACAACCATCAGATTGGAAATTAATTCCCCTCATTCACTTGAAGATGTTATGAGTTCTTCATCTTTCTTCAACTCATAGAGATCAAGGTTTTTGACAGCATTGCCAAGTTTTGGGAAGTCATTCTCTATGAATTCCACACATCACGTGAATCAATCTCGATTCTCCCTTCATCTGGATGTTCATCATACATCACATAATCTTTCGAGTTTTCACAATATCTTATAAAGATATGTTTATTTGCTCTAATACCCAACTTTCCTAACTTATGTGATTGATTATGAACAAATCCAGCACAACCCCAAGGACGCAAATTACCCATATTGGGTTTTACATCATTCCAAAGTTTGTATGGGGTTGAAGGAACCGTCTTTGAAGGCACACGGTTAAGTATATACATCGCAGTCAATAATGCATCACCCTAGAAAGATATGGGGAGATTTGCATGCGCCATTATAGACCTGACCATGTCTAATAAAGTTTTGTTTCTCTTTTCAGCAACACCATTTAGTTGTGGCATGTAAGGAATAAAAAGTTGTTTGCGTATCCTCTTACTTTCACAAAAAACCTTGAATTGGTCAAACAAATACTAGCGTCCATGATTACTGTGAAGAGCTTTTACAATCTTCATTTTTTTGATTCTCAACCTCAGCTACAAAGCATTTGAAATAATCTAAATCTTCATAGAGATGAGCGATCAAGTACACATAACCATACCACGTGTAATCGCCAATCAAAGTGAGAAATAAGAAGCGCCATGACGGGCCTTCACACTCATTGGTCCACAGATGCTAGAATGGATTAACTCTATTTGTTGAGTAACTCAAACAGCTTTTCCAAAAGGCTTTCTAACCACTTTGCTAGCTAAACAAGGCTCACATACAGGCAGATTGACATTAGTGAGTGACCCTAACAGACCTTCTCTAACTAACCTTATCATTTTATCTTGCCCTATATGCCCTAGTCTAGCATGCCATGTTTCAGAATTAGCATGTTTAATAACAATTACTAAAAAAAGTAAAAGAACAAGAATAAATCAAATCCAAGCAAACAAAATCGTTCTTTATTGAGCCATATCCAATTTCAACTTGATCCAAATAAATTACAAGTCTAGACAAGCTTAAGTAAATACAATCCTTTATATAAAAGTGCAGTAATTGAAAGTAAATTAAATTGCATTCTAGGGGTGTGCAAGACATCAAGTAGAAGTAGTTAACACCTAATGCTTAGTTGAAGTGGATACGAACCAACTCCCAAAGCTTCTGTATGACTTCCTTCACCCACGTACACCTAGTGTGACTTTGCTAGAAATTGTTGATAATTTTCAAACCCCTTTTTATCTCGCGTCATATGTTTGGTTGCTTCTATGTCTACAATCCAATTGTCATATGTGTGAGCAACATGTATATGCGAACATACACAAACAATGACAGATTTAGGGTTAGGGATTACCTTTTTATTCGGCTCAGTGCAATTACAAGAGAATTATCCCTTCTTTTATAGTTAAAGTACGTTGACTTGGATTCGTCTTTCTTGCCACGTTTACCTCTGTGGGCCTTGATCTTATTAGAATTAGGAGCAAGCTTTGCTTCCTTTTTCTCAGACTTGGTTTTACCCTTTCCTTTGAACTGGTTACCCTTTTTGGACCCATCTTAACTCGAAAGGGCAGTACTCTGGGTCACCACTCAGCCCTCACCTTCCAGTTCAATATGACGCGATATCTCATGAAAGTTCTTAATCTAATCATTGTGTGTCATGATTTGTTTAAGGGCATCCCACGAGTCTGGGAGGGACCTAATCACAGCTTGGAATTTCTATTCATCGGTGAGGATACTCCTAGT